TATACTAATGAAATTTGACTGGAATATTGTAATGTGTTGGAAATGGGATATGGGATATTTCTTGAAAGAGGCTATAAAGACAGAAGGGAAGGGAATGGAGCAGTAATTGAAATTCATCCTAATTCAGCCTAGTGAGGGAATACAGCGGCAGAGGCTAATAGTTGCAATGATCCTTGGCTAATGGAGAGTTCAGTGGGGGTCATGATCACCTGCATATTTTAGAACAGCCCTGACACTGCTCTAAATTATGTGGCTGTCTCTGGCTGTCCCTGGCAGCTCTATTAATACCTTTACACCCTGGCCTTCTCAGGTATATCAATTGATGCTCCAGAGCTTCCAAACTGTAGCCTTCCATTTCTTATGGCATGAGTAGTCTGAAGAAATAAGTGTCTCTGTGCAAAAGTAGAAACCCCAAAGGAAACTAATGCTTATCCTAAAAGGCAAGAATGAAGGAGAAATTAATCAGGCTAGGAAACAATGGCATTAAGAGAGAGATGAGCTATTCCTTTTCTTTTAGCAGCTGTAGATGAGGGAAAAATACCTTACTTGATGATAAATACTAAAACCCACCAAATCTCACAACTGATATGACAAGCCTCTGGCATGGAAACCAGTAAGCTTCTTTTCAGGTAAAGGAAATTATTTGACAGTACCTGGTTACCCATGAAGCCTTCCAGGGTGGTGTGGAAATTAGTATATATAACCCCAACATGAAAAATGAAGTGGTAACTACTATATGAGCACATGACCTGATGTGGACTTACTAGAGGATGAGCTGACAGGTATGAAGTATATCATTCACCTCAGATTAAAAGAAAGAGAAAAGCAAGCAGAAGAGCAGACCAGAACATGGCATTGCCTTGAAAATTCACGGTGTATTGTGAAAGCAACCTGCACGCAACAGAGAAGGGTAAATGATGTTGGAATACTGCAGCAGCAAGCACCTGGAAAAGGCAGCCCACTGACCCAGATAGGTGATCATACCTATCTGTAGGTTGTGGGATGACCTTATTTACCTTTCTTCCTCAAATTGTTTCATTTTGTGAAGTTGACTGAGTGTCCAGAGGGACTCTTTCTCAGCTTCAGGGTGTGCAGGATAGACCTCTCTGTCTGATTCACTCCCTCTGGCTTCACTTACAGCTAATGGGAGAGCAGCAGTCTACTTAGGGCTTAAATAACATGTGCTAAAAATTCCTGCTTCTCTCCATCAGCCATAATGCAGTATGGATGATTAGCTCAGACGTAGAAGCCTGTATTGAAGGCATCTATAAAGGGTCAGATAAAACTTACACTCAGCCTGCAGTATCAGAGTAACAAGTCCCTGATTACATTAGGCAAAGCAGGGATTCAGACTGTCTCCTACCTCCTTCACTACTGCCATAATCACTGGGCTTCTGGCTGTCTTGGCTGTTCTCTTGCATTCTGTTTCAGTACCTATCAATAGAGTGACAGTGTTGATGAAAGGCTTTGCTCCAACTAGATCATTCAATTGATAAGTTCACAGTGAATTCTTGCAATTTCGTTCCCTGACTGATCAATGTGAAGGAAGATCTAGCAAATGAGTATCCTAAGACACATATATATATGAACAAAAAATATAAAATTATCCATTGCTTTCTGATCAAGAAGTGCCAAGAGTGTCCTATGGTTCTTGAAAATGAATCAGTGGCTGGTGGTGTATCTTGGTCTACACAGAGAAAACTCTACTTACCTTAGTGATTTCTAATCTAGCAACCAAGTCGAAGACTTTTTCCAAATTCACAAGAAATAACAGAATAAGAGAATTAGAAAATACAACATGGAAAGTTTGTTCACGCATAAGCAGTATTGGCTTGAGCAGCTGCCCTTTTCTGTGAGTACTGAAAGACACATCAGTGTTTAATGTTGTCAGAGGAGTTATATTTAGTATACTCCCTCATGCTTTGGAATACGTGTTTAGTTCTCATTAGTCTTCAGCAGCATGGCTGGTTACAAAGATTAGTGTCTGCAAGTTTGGCATGAATACTTGGAAAATAACCTTTCTTCCAATGTATTGGGGACTCTAGTTCTAGTACACCAACAGAATCCTGTGTCTGAATTCAGGGGTAGCTCAGCCTGTGTATTTCCACGTGTCCCTATCTCTACTTTTGTGCCGAATTATACCTACTTTTCCCACCTATATGAAGAGATGGGAGGAAAAGACTAGCAATGAGGAGGGAGGGAGGAAAAGACCAGCAATGAGGAGATATAAGGTAGGGACCAAAACCCAAAGTAAAAAAAAAAACAACCAACTATCCACAAAAAAACCCCAAAACCCCAAACCAAACAAAAGATTGTAAAGCCTAGAAAAAGTTTATTGTAAGAGACCTAGAATATTGTCCTGAGGCAATACCCACACACTACAGGAACCTGGCAGACAGTTTTCAGCATGGAAACCCATATTCATATATCTTCATTATTTATTTTCATTTCTTCTGTTCCTGGAAAGTTGTTTTTTGGTTGAGGAGTGTAAGCTTATGATCAGCTTGAGTTCAGATGAAAACTTTGGTATTAACATTGATATATATTTTTAGAAAGAATGAAAGATAGAGACATCTATGACTTAGCTCCAAAAGGGAAACAAATGAAGAAAATCACTTTTCCTCCAAGACCAGTGATTAAGGAACAAATATATAAAAAAATGTACTAAGTGCTGCATGTGAGATTATTATAGAGGTTCTGAGCACGACTGCAAAATGAGACAGTAAACAATGTTAAGGCAAGAACTGGTAAAAATGCAGTAAGATTACAGAGGAGGTTAACATAAATAATAAGAAAGTATTCAAGTATGTAAGGAACAGGGGGTCAGTGAAGGAGATGTGGTGAACATGATTTATTGACAGCATAGGTAGACATAGACAGAAACATTAATGGATGCGCCTCTTCAGTGTGTTCACATAAGAAGATGGGGAACTGATACAGAAAATAATTTCCTGGGATTTTGGTGCTGAGGGCTGAGGAGTAAGAAAACCAAATAGTACAGAAAATGGGAAATATCCCACCAGCTTGCTCTGTGTCAGAACACATTTTCAAAAGAGTACCTTACTTATAATTAGAACTGAAGCAAGACATGCCTTTCCTGTAAAGGTAAGTAATGTATATTTGACAATTTACTATACAAATTGTTTTGGTGGAAGCAAGAAATAGAAAAGGTGGTCACATAGGGATAAAGTAGTGACAAAGAGGATACACACATTTGTAGGCTAAACTAGATGAGCATGATGCCTGAGAGTACTCAATCCCAGTAATAAACTCACCAGGAAGTAAAACCAAAATAAAGAAAAAAGAAAGCTTATGTGGACCAACAGAGCAAGGTGGGAAATAAAGGTTTCTGATAGAGTACAGTGTACAGAGGGAACAGAGTGTCTGAATCAGCTGCAGAAACTCAAGTTTGTTTTTGTTTCACTCAAAACTCTAGTGCTTTGCAGCAGTCCTGAGACCCTGGGCTGATCTTCCCAGCAAGGGCCACCTGACAGAACCAGGAGATTGACCACTCCATCCTACCTCCTGGGGTCTTCATTTTAGCTCTTTCTGCTCCACATTGTGGAAATGCTTCAGTGAAATGTCTGGGAGAGGGCATTGAAGCAGGACATGCTGCCATCCTTCCACCTGCCTGGGCAGATGTTTCACCTGGATGTGAAGAGATGAGGCAGTGAGCTTCAAATGTGATGATGATCTCAGGGGTAAGAGCTATTGCGTACTAAAGCATAGGAATACTCGAATCAATGAAAACCAGTGCCAGGTATCCCTTGGCATAGGGCTCCCTGAGAAGGACAAAGGAAGGCTTGAGGAAACAGAACAAACAGAACAAATGAGAGACAAGACAAAGTGTTTGAGAGCATCAAAAGCACAATGCTTTCAAGTTCTGATTCAGAAGCAAGGTTCACATCAAAATGACAATCTCATTTATGAGGCTGAAGCTTTGACTTTTTTGCTAAATTTGTTCTTTTTGTTATTGGCTCATCCCACCCATTTTTGTTATTCACAGAGAGGTTATTTCCTGACTGATTGTTGACTGACTGTTTTCTGGGGGCAAAGGCTGTCTCCTTTGTCACTCAGCCCTGCAGTGTCACATGGGCCCTGATCCGTAACTGAAACTTTTAGATCCCACCATCACCTAAGTATTAATTGCGAAAGAAGCAGCTAAGCCTGAGCATCTGCCCTGGACTGCAATGTAGGCAGAAGGCCTAAAAAAGACAGTCCCTATCAGACAGGAGGTGTGTCGTGTAGTCATGGGGTGAGCAATGGGAGAGAGTGGGGGTGATGATGGTGGGGAAGGCAGCAGGGCATGCCAGGAAATAGCACTCGACTGGCCTTGCTGGCACTGGTCCAGCATCTGTTTGCTGAAAGATTTGGTATGAGAGGTGTTTTAAGAAATAAGCTGAAGTCCAAGGGTTCTTCTTATGCAAACCCTCAGCAGCTGGCAGCATGGAGGAAATGACTAACGTTGTGTTTGTTGTTTCCATGTGGCACTTGTGTGTGCTGAGCCTGTGGGAGGGGGAGAGGGGGATTTTCTCAAACCGTGTCTGTAAACAGACCCTGCTGATAGCTTTCCTTTCACTGCTTGCAGCTCGGAGGGGGAAAAGGGCTTGTCCTGGTCAGCTTCACTTCACACGGGGAGAGAGGTGCATTTTCCCAGGGAAATGACCAAGGCAGTAACTGGAGGGAGGAATCTAGAGTAAGGTGCATGATGACTAGTGCTCCAAGTGCTCACCACCTTCCTTGCAGAGTTAATAAAGAAGTTCAAAATCCTTCAGGTTCAGAACCATTCCTCACCTGCTGCACCACCACCAGTCACATGTGGGGAATACACACCTTATTCAATCTGGGAGTCCTGAAATTATGCCATGTTAAAACTCTCCCTCACTTCTTAACTTCGAGTTCCTCCTTAGAGCAGGAGCAGTCAATGTCAATGTTGACATTTTACCTCCCAGATGTCTGTGTAGGAGGTTACCACCTCTAATCCTACAGGGAGAGGAGACAAAGAAATGAATGAGGTGGAAGGAGACTCCTCTCTTGCTTACTGTGCAGCAGTACTGTCCTCAACAGAGGCACACAGACACTTTCCATTGACTTCCAAGGGCTTGCAACACGGCCCAGAAGACAACCTGTAGGTGCACGTTTCTAAGGTGAGCACAAAGAAATACTGCCAGGTTGCCTGAGACCTGCATCAAATGCAATGATAAGAAGAAATGAACACTGGAGGGGGGGTTTTGTGTTTTGTTTGTTTTTTTTCTTGTTTGGCTTTTGGTGCTTTTTGTTTGTTTTGTTAGAGGTTTTTTGGGGATTTTTTGTTTAGTTTGGTTTGTGCGGGTTTTTTTTGGGTTTTTTTTTTTGGTTGGTTGGTTGGTTGGTTGGTTTGGTTTGGTTTTGTTCTTGTTGATTTTTTTTTAAAGCCAGTCTTATCCCATGCAAGGAACAGCTGAACACAAGGGAAGAGGAAATTCTGATAAATACATCAGGGTCCCTATGGCAACATATTGGTTTTACTAAGTCAGCCCTTGCTGCAAGCTGATGTCCACTCAGGCAGAGTCCTTATGAACAAACATAGAGAAGCTGGAATGCACTCAGACAAGCAGAGGTCAAATGTTTCTGTTGATGGGAATATATTCTCCTCAATGCTTGAGGCATTTGGGGCAGTTATTTGCTGTTGTTGTTGCCGCAAATCTGACAGAAGTTCAAAAATTGAAAGTTGACAGTTTCTGTCACAGAAAATACCTGGTCTTGAATGAGACACCAAACCAAACCAAACCAAAATTTTGGGTTTTGCTTTTTCTATTGTTACTATATAATTATTTTCAAATAAATGCCCAAGGACTTTTTTTGTTGTTATTTTTAATCCTAAGTGCTTTGAGGCCATAAGCCCCATTGGTTCAACTGTTCTGTAAAACCTTTATTTCAAGTAATTTAAGAATATGCTAAAGAAGAGTTCTATCCTACCTGCTTTCAGAAAGGGCATGGAAGGAAAATGTGTTTAGCAAGAACTGGTGGATCATTAAGTGGTTTTATCTGCACTTGACATCTCTCTGTAAATAAGTCAAGGTTTGTTGCAACCTTGTGCAAGTGCTGGCAAAATTTAAAGCCTTAAACAGTGAACTGCTTTGAAGAAAGCTTATCTTCCTAATGGAAACAAATTGTACTTATTATTTATATATGTGGTAAAGATTAATTAAAACATAGTGGGGTGGCTTTAGTTTTTCTCCTTAAATATGTTGATTATTTAACATCAAACTTAAGCCTTGGATTGTGGCATATTGATAGAATATGAACCATAAACCATAATAAAAACAAATAAACTCATTCTTTATGTACCAAGAGTAATGTTTCAGAACACAGATGTGAGCTCAAAATTATCCATTAAGGAAAGTAATGCAGCCCCAAGAGCAGCTTGGAGGAATGCTTATAGAAGTCAATGGGGTAATCTTAGCTGTGCTCCTTGGGTGTTGGATCATACCCTTGTTGAATTAGATGTATCTGACACATGTACCACTGCTCTGCAATAAAGTATACTGTCATCATGGAGAAATAAATACAGCAGAGGCTTCTTACTACCACCACGGTATTTCATAGGTTTTTTGATATGCAGGATAAAAACTGGAAAAAGAAGCGGTTTTGCTTGCTTTGAATTATTTAAGCTTTTGAATAGTTTTTCTTAACTTTTTTTTTTTTCCTTAATTCTGCATTTCTCAGTCAGGAAAGGTTAGTCTTGATAATTACAGCTTTCAGTTACAGATCTGATTTCTATTTTTGACTCTCACAGAAATGTGAAGATTTGTGATAGTAGGATTTCCACTTCCTCAACTGAGTAGAAATAGCCCTCTTTTTTTTTTTCTTTAAAAATAGACACAACACAATTGGATTATGTTTATAGTTAGGTTGGATAACTGAAAAATCTTTTTTCACTGTATATATATGTATATACACATATATGTCCTTTTAGGTTTGAGGTGTTCAGAACTGACATCGATGTTTCAGTTTAAGATCTGCCTCTGCAGTTTTAGGAAGGCTATTGCAGTGCAAAGGACCTATATGAAAGTAAACATATTTGAGTTCATACTGAGTAATACTTAAGCATTAAACTAGCTTTCTCCCAAGATTTGAAAGTTGCAATAAGTTTCAAAGCCCTTAATGGCAGAAGGAGAGCCACTGGATTATCTGATGTGCTTCCTAGTGCATCCCTAAGTTGCATCCCTAGTTTGTGGTTTGGGTAAGAACTAAGGGGGCTCAAGCATTGCCCTGTAGAGCCTCTCTTTCCAACACAATGGTATTGCTCTCTGACAGCCTCATTGCACTGTCTTTACTATGCACAGTTCATCCTGCCCAAGCCATTCCAGTGGCAAGGCACAAGATCCAGGCTCTTCTCTGCAGGAGAGTCGAGGAGTCAGGAGATTCAGCATGCATGGTGGGTGCTCCAGAGCTGCTGGCACTGGGAGCCCCAGCACAGCTGGAGGGGATGGTCAGCCTTTCCAATTTTGTTTGCAGCTGTCAGCATCCCAGGGAGCCTATTGAATCTGGAAACACAAGATATCAGATGTCAAGAACTGCATTTATTTTGCACTAGATTTTGTAAAAAAAAAAAAAAAAATTCAATTTCAAAATTAAGACAAGAAAAGACGTTGGTACAGCCAAAAAAAATCTCACGAGTGTCCCTTCCTTCCACCCACAGTACTGTAAGCCACATCTTTGAAATGTCACATTCCCTGGATAGGGCAACTTCATCTCCTGCCTCCCATGTAGGTAGAGTTCATTAGCCTTTGTCCTGTTGTCCATTTCTGGGAAAGATGGTTGAAGGTGAGGTATATTTTGTGCTGTACAGTGACAGCTTTGCCATGTAGGGACCCACACATCCAAAAATAAATGTTTTGGTACTTGTTTTATCCCTGGGCTAGAGTACATAGGGACTGTATAATCTTGCTATATTTGTTCCTTTGACAAACACCAACACACCTGGAAAGGAAGAATCCTCTCACTGAGTGGAGAATGAAGGCAGAGAGCGAGTGAGGGACAGACACTTTGAGCATGTAGCTCAAAAGCTTCTCTGGGCAGCAGTGGCTGGGCCCCCAATCATGAAGGAAAGTAGAGCAGGGAGTTGGAACCCATCTCTGAAATTGCATAACCCCAGGCATGGGAGTATTTTGCCTTCCTTTTAACTTTGCTTCCAGACTGATACAGGAGAACAGAGAGAGTATTGTTATTAGATGCAACATGAAGTAACAAACAAAAGCGTATCTCTCAAAATGTTGAAAAATAAGTTTGGTCAGAAGTACTTTGTTGACCTTACTGAAATCACTCCTTCTCTGACCCAGATACAGCATGTGTAATCCACTTTGTAATGTCACTACAATGCTCATCAAGATTTCTACCTTGATATGACATCTGTAGATCTGGCATTCATTGTTCTGATCAGCAGCGTTCTCGTGGTTGTGTTGCTACCTGGGCAGCTGCTGACACCAAAGAGACTTTGGCTGTATAAGATCATTTGAAATTTGCAGCAGCAGAGCATTTAGGATTTGCAGACAAAACCATTAAAGTATGGGCAGGATAGTTTTCTTTCCCTCTAAATATGAAGGAAGAGGACATAGGGATGACACTTTATTTAATTTGGATTAAAAGAATGCTGTGAGGTTTCATTTTTTTGGAAAGGTGAGTTTTGATGTTACCTTAAACTGGTAAAAAAAATATATGAAAGTTCTGGCTGAAACTGTTTCCTCTGGAGTTTATTTCTAAAATCAAAACGCCTCTCTGATTTGAAGTTCTGAAACCCACTGCTGTGAATAAAAATGTGCAGCCATTTCATTTATTCATTTTGGAAGAATGAAAGCAGCAATGAGTAAAACTGCAGTGGGGTGAGGAAAACCTGCTGATCAGAATGAAGGTTACTTATATTACAATAAACATGTGTTGGTCTTGGCTAATATTGGTTTAAGTCACAGTCTCATTTGAACTCAAAGTGCCTTTTGCTTTGGCTGCTCAAAGGACACAATTGTCATCAAGGAAGTAAAATCTCTTCTGTTCCCCCAGCTGGAAGAAAAGAGATTGGAGGTGGCAGTGGAAGGGACAGGGCACAAGAAAGAAAAGGAAAGGAAGACAGACGCTCGCACATAACTTCTTACAATGGCTCCAGCATGCCCTTCCATTGGCAGGAATCCTTTTGATCAAATCCTTGCCCTGGGCTGAAAGCGTTTTAATGAGCATACAGACACCGTCTTTTTTTTCTGGGTCTATTTTGTGTTCTTAAGGATAGCTAAGTAAAGTGTGCACTTAAATGATCATGTCTGTACTCCTTAAATGTGCTCTAGAGGAAACGCATACTGCTTGAATGTGGAGGCTGAGCAGCGCCAGCCTGAAGGACAGAAGGAAAATAGCAGAGGAGGAAACAAGTTTTCTTTAACATTTTTTTCTTGGGGAGGAGGGGCATACAACCTTCAGAGAGATGGGTATTTTGGGGTTGGGTGGTGTTTTGTGGAGACCCATATGTCTTACTAAGCATCCCCAGGACTGGTTTCTTTGAAATTCCCATCAAGGCTACCGTAGTTCACCCAGCTCCTTCTACATGCACCCAGGGGGACTTGTGTGGTGTCCTGCCAGATGATAGTGCCCAGATACTGTGGGAGGATGCCCTGCACAGCTCCTTGTGGGAGTTTGCTCCTTGAACTCGGTCCTAGACCTCTGCTTTTATTTCCGCTGCTGGGAAGGACTTACTTGATTTGGTCTGCAGTGGCGATCCATCAGTTCCTGCTCTCCCCACCATGTTGAGGGCAGGTATGGGACCACATGGATGAACTCTTTTTGGCAGCAGTCTGTGTATAGTGGATTTGTGGAGCTGAAGAAAACTTCACTTGCCTAGGCTGCCAACATGGGTCTTCCCACGAGCTCTAATACACATTAAACACAGAATTAAAAAAAAAGAAATTAAAAAAAGATTATGCTTGACAAAAGGAAAATGCAGTTTAATTTGACACATCTCATTATTTTGAGGCAATTTTGGGAAAAGATAAACTTTGTTGGTCTGTCACAGAGTACTAACAGCTACTGCAAAGCAATGCAGGGGCCTGTTCACCTTGGAATAAACACTTGCCACTAACTTTCAATTTACCTGTTAGATTTCGAAGATGAGGGTGCAAGAGGGTGAGAGACAAGACCTTGTTCAGAAGAAGCAGAGTCTTCCCTGAATAGGATGGTGAGAGTTGAAAGGAAGTTTTGCCTTCACAGCAGCTGGCAAAATCAAAACCTTTTTCAAGTTTTTTTGATGTGAATCACAGGAGGTGCGATGACTGGGATTTGCATCCAAACAGGAACCCTGCAGATTTCTTCAAATCCTGGCGACAAAGGTATGACATTTATGATTTGAGACCCTTGTTCCACATGTGTGAATTGCCAAAACAAAGCTTTCAAAAAGGCAACTGTTATTTGTGACTGATGCAGTTTGTAAATAAGAAAGTGCCAACACTGAAACGTTGTCTAGTTTAGCTCGGGGTACCAAATGCTGCCCAGGTAGAGCTGCTGCCCAGAGCTGATTGCCCCAACCATGTTAGCAATGCTCTTTCAATAAGAGAAGTATCACTGCATGACTTTGGTGTGGCTAACAGGTATGTGTGAACTAACTGTATACTTTTAGAGGTGTGGCACTGGATAAACAGTGGAAATTTATGTCACAGGAAATAATTTTGACAAGCCCATAGTTAGGTATTTTGCCTCTAGTGATGGTACAACAGCACTGGAAAAAAGGTAAGTCACCAAATATGGATACCAAGTAAAAAAAAAATCCCTCATTTATAATATTTATAACTGCTGATGGTAATTCAGTTCATGTCATCATTATTCCCATTGCTGCCTTTTTAGTCATCTCCTTGGTTATTTTTGTCAATAATATTCTCCAACAATGACTGTTTCACAAGTTCAATATATGGTATATAAAACATTTGTGCTTCTGGTTTTAATTTTACTGCAATACTTTATTTAAGAGTCTCAGATTTATCCCATGTAGAATATTCATCAATCCACTCACTTCTGCTCTTCATGTGAACTAAGCTGCAGTGGAGAAAGAAGAAGGCCCATGCATCAAATAACTTTTGTTTCCTTTCTTGGCAACGATTCTTTCTGCTGCATCTTTTTCAGAGAGGTGACCAGGTCTGTGACACTAGCTAAGAGATATCTCTTTTTTTTATTTTGTTGTTTCCTTGTTTTTTTCTTTACCAATACAATACGTTTAGAGTCATTCTCTTTCACTTAACACACCTTTACAATTCAAAATATGTTCCACCTGGTAAGATTTAATTTTAAAATTTTCATTAGTTTAAAGATTTGTTAATTTTTCTGTTAGTTTTACCCTTCTAAATTTGGGGTGATTTTCTTTATCCAAAAATAATACCAGCAACTGACATTCTGCATGTGCACACACATGCATGCATATATATTTATAGATCTACATATCTCTACATTTGTGTATGTATATGTTTGTGTATGTATGAGTTTGTGTATATACACTCTCACGCATTAACTGGCTATGCTTATTTCAGCCAGCTTTTCAAAGAACCCTCCCTTCATGCTTCCTGACTACAAGCTGTATTGGCACAGGGCAATTTAGAAAATAATTAATTCATTAACTAATCTCAAGGATCCCTGAAGAAAATACCAAAACTGACAGAAACGAAAACTTTGGGGGCTTCATCTGTCAGAATGAACATGTAGAGAATTCAGATAGTATGCAAGTAACTCAGAAAATGTTTATGTGGAAAATTGTCCATGCATTTTATTACTTGTTCACAAAAAATCTCAGTGCACAACTTAGCTAAATTACCGGCAAAGTTAAATTAGGCATGCACACTTAGAATTAAAAACACCCCTTCTGCCTGCCACACAGAGTCTGTGAGTTCATAGTGAATGGGAACACAGAAATACCTGCTCTTCAGTCTGTCAGAAGATGGTCTGCCTGGATAGTCACAGAACAAATTCTTAGTAGAAAAAAGGGACTTACACAACAATGTTAAAAAGTTATAACAGTATGCACTTCTGCTAAGTATTTTTATATGAATCACACAAAAGCACCAATTCTCTTACCAGAATAATGCAATAGTCACTACTGATAATGTTGTAGTGTCCAATTTGTATGTGTCAGCATTTTGGAAACATATCCTACAACTGAGTATTTGGAATATTTCCGTGCTTAAAAGCAGTGGCCCACGTGAATTTTTTTTGTTTCCTGATATTTGCTGTTCTCTCATACAGGATTTTCTATTTATTTATACATACATATGCATGTATATATATGTGTGTGTGTGTGTGTGTGTGCGCGCGCGTGCCAGCCTCTTTCATGTAGAAATCATCAAAACTGTGTATTTACAAACTAATTGAATTAGTCAGATTGCTGGGGTACATCCATAGCCCAAATAGAGCTCAGCTGTGCCAGGATGCATAGAGGGAAAACTGTGCCTTCAAAGGGCAAAAGGTCCAGCACACCAGGGGTTGGGATGCTGCAGAGACTGTGAGACCAGGCTTGTGGTGCATTACTAGGCAAGCTTCTCAGGAACAATTTGTGACACTCCTTGGAAGTGACTGACATTTTTTGTAAGATTGAGGTGGAATCATATGATGGTTTCATTCAAGGCAGAGCTATGTGACAAATATTTGTGTGAATTTCTATGCTTTCATGCTAATAAATGATATTTAAAGTGCCCAGGGGCAGAGAGTGGGAAAAAATGGGTTTATATTTCTGTTTTCCTTTCTTTAAGCAGCTTGCTGCCAGCCAGGCTTGCATAGGTGTTTGGGTACTGGAAGATGCAATAAGTGTCTCATAGACCTTCCAGACCTTTTTGCAACAATAACGATGTATGGTCGTGACAGAGGCTGCAGAAGCTAACAGAGGATTTTGAAAGATCTAGTGAAGGAGCTCTCTGAACCATTAATGATGATTTTCAACAAATCTTGGTGCCCTGGGGAGGATCCAGAAGGCTAGAAGAAAGCTTATATAGAGCCAACATTTATAAAGGTTAAACGGGATGACTTGAGTAATTATAGGCCTGTCAACCTGACATTGATCCCAGGCAAAATACTGGAACAGCTGATATGAGACTTGATTAATAAGGAATTAAAGGAAGGTAATATAATTAATGCCTTTCAACATGGGTTTATGGAAAATAGATCTTGTCAAACTGGCTTGATATCATTTTTATGAGATTACAAGCTTGGTTGAGAAAGGTAATGGCACTGATGTAATGTACTTAGATATCTGTAAGGCATTTGACTGGGTACCACCTGACATTTTGGTTAATAAAAGGGAATGCTTCAAAATCATTGTAGCAAACATCAAATGGATTAAAAAATAGCTAATTGGTACATCTCAATATGTAATTGTAAATGGGGAAAATTCACTGAGCATGTATGTCACCACTGGAATCCTGCAGAGAATGGTTCTGGATCCAAAGCTGTTTAACATTTCTAACCATGTTTTGAAAAGAAAAAAAAAAAGAAAAAAAGCAGTCATTGTAGATTGTATAGATTATACTTACAGACCACACAAACACTAGGAGGGTAGACAATAATAAAATGAATGTGCTGCTGGTAAGGAACAAGCCAGAAGTTTTAGACAAAATCTGATGTTTTCTGTCTAGAAACAGCAAAAGGTGGCTTTACAGGACCTTTCCCGTAGTAGATGTGACTTTTAAAAAGACTGAGAACTCATTACAGGTGGATAATCACAACTTCCAGTGCAGTGTGGTACCTAAAAGGGGTCGTAATTGAATGTGCAGCAGCGAATATCAGGTCTGAGCAGGATGGGTTTATACTACTACTAATATTGGCACCACCATCACCCTTATGGGAGGATGGGGTCCCGTTCTGAATCCCAGCTCAAGGGAAATGTTGATAAGCTGAGGAGCTGAGAGAAGACTACCAGGAGCATGCAAGGAACTGGAAGAGACGATTTATCATTAAGAGCTCAATGAATTCAATGTTTCCTCCAGAAAAGAGAGGACTAATGAGGTGAGCTGGTCCCAAAATTATGAGATTTGTTTTGCCCAAATTTCCGCATGTGAAAGACAGGACTAGGGTTTAAACTCACTGCTTTGTACCCCTTATTCAGTCAGCGCAGAAATCAGATATCTCTAGTGGGCAACTAATACCGTACAGAGATAGCTGCAATGAAATTCCTTCGGGTAGTGCCTGTTTCTCTCAATTGGTTACAGAAGAATCCCCAGAAGAATCTTGTCTTGGGTAAGACAAGATGCTTCATTTTTGCGTGGTTAAAGTTAAGTGAGATAATCCCACACTAATTGCCTCCATGGGGAATGTAACTTTTAAAATGAAGCCTCTTCAGTCTGTTAAACAGCAGGCTCTGAAGGCTGGAAGTTTTATAGGGACAAATTCAGATTGAAAATCAGGTGCACATTTTTCTCAGGGAGTGCAATTAACCTTTGGAACAAATTGCCAAGGGTTGTGGCACTTTCTACACCAGTGGAAATTTTAAAATTAAGATGGAATGTTTTTCTGAAAGATTTGCTCTACTTAAAATGCACTGATTTGGCGAAGTTAAGTGGCCCGCGTTGTACAAGAGGTCAGAGAAGATCATTGCTTTTGTCCTTTCTGGACTAATGATATGTGTCTGTACATGCTTGTGATGCTTTAAAAAAATCGTTCCTTAAGTCTCTCTCCATTCCTAATTTTCCTTCCTGCTAACAACAATTAGAATTGCCTTTCTTGGAGAACAAAGGCCTTAAGGACTTTTGGGTGTGTAAATATCCTGGAAACGAAAGACTTCTAAGAATTTGGGGTATGCTGAAGAAACATAGATGATTAGGTAGAGTTTGGGGAACATTCACTGCCCACGTGTTAATTGCGTGTTAGTCTTGTTGGGGATGGGTGCTGACTGGTTACCATTGCAAGCTTCCACGTAATTAGGGCACAAGTGTCTTGAAAAAGACACAGTGTGTTTTCAAAAGTATTCCACAAAATGCCCCACAGTTTCCTTTCTGCAACAGACACTGGAGCAAGGCCAGATCCACCCTGCTCTTGGCCTCCACACCCTGATGGTTCATGGTTCAGACTAGCAAGGTCACACTGTTGATGTGGGGTTAAGTGAACAGGAAAGCCATTAAAATTTATGTGATTTTGGCAAGGTGCTGTATTTTCCCTGTCTCAATCCTATGATTGTCTGGATTAAAAAAAAGAAAAAAAAAAGGAAAAGAAGATAAAAAGTAGTAGAAGAATAAGTAAAAAGGAAAGAAAAAAAGAAAAAAAGGACCAAGAAGAGAAACGGGGAAGGATTAGAGCGGTTTGGAGAAAGTTTTCTTCAGTCTGACTTTGACTTGACCACCTAGATTTAATTCTAAGTTCC